GTTTCACTAATTAGTTTCATTTGCTGTGCAGATGCTTTTTAATTTGATCAGGTCCCATTTACTTATTTTTGTTGTTGCTGTGATTGCTTTGGGGGTCTTCTTCATAAATTATTTGCCTAGGCCAATGTCTATAAGAAATTTTCCAACATTTTATTCTAGAATTCTTATGGTTTCCTGCCTTAGGTTTAAGTCCGTTATCCATCATGAGTTGATTTGTGGGAAGTGAGAGGTGTGGATCCAGTTTCAGTCTTCTACATGTGGCTATCCAACTTTCCCAGCACCATTTATTGAATTTATTGAATTTCTTTTCTCCAGAATAGTGATTCTTTTCCCAGCTATTTTTCAAGTTGCATGTAACTCACGCACAAAAAACAATAAAAAAATAACATATTTTTCATTGAATTAGAAAGGATCATTTTGTTTTCAAAGTTTTTATTCTATTTTCATAATAAAACACCATGGCTCCAAAGAAAAAAATATTTTTTCTTGTGTGGCAGTCAATGTGTTAAAAATGAACTGTCATCACTAATATACATTATGCATATTGTAGATGAGTTCAACATGCTTGGAGGGAAAAAAATTCACATAGGCCTAGTTCATGCTAACAAAATTGTAGTTGGGAAACAAGGGGTTCAGGAGATTTTTTTCCCTCCCCCCAAATGTTTTTTCTCTAAAATGATTTGAATAGTTGCCTAAATTCTCCAATTCTCTTTATATTTGTAGATTTATATGAAAGTTAGTTTGCTTTGAAATAAAATGCTTTCTAAAGCATTTTCTAATGCTTTCTAAATGAAAGCCTAAAAAAAGAAAGAAAAATACTGTTTTGTTGGGAAAATGTCTCAAGTTTAATTAAATTACAGTATCTCATGATTCAAAGAGACTTGAGAGAGCGTTTGATAGAAGTCTTCATTGAGTTATTGAATTCTGGCCCAAGTGGGTATCAGCCACTACTTGGCTCTTCCCATGACAAGAAGTGCAAGACAGGGCATCTCATTTTTTTCCTGAAAGTTTTCATTGTTTAAAGTTCTGAGTACAATCTGCCTCCTGGACATTCCATTCTAGTTCTGTATTCTGGAGCTACACAAAAGCTTCCTCTTTTATGTGTCCGCTTCACCCACCACCTTCAGCTTTGAAGGGAATTAAAGTTCCCTGGAGCTTACCACTTAGGGAGTCATATATTAACTGAATGGTATTAATAATGCCCCATTATGAGAAAAGTAGGGCAGGCAAGATCATGGTCAGCACCAACAAACTTTTGAAAACTGTTATGGATTGAATGTTTGAGTCCTCCCCAAATTCCTATGTTGAAGCCCTAACCCTCCATGTGAGGGTACTTAGAGATGGGGCCTTTGAGAAATAATTAGGTTTAGATGAGTCATGAGGGTGAGCCCCCATGATGGGATTACTATACTTACAAGAAGAGAAAAAGACCGGAGTTCTCTCTCTTTTTGCCATGTGAGGACACAACTAGGAGATACCCATCTGCAAGCCAGTACGAGGAACCCCACCACGAAATCAACCACACTGGCACCCTGACCTTGGAATTCCCAGCCTCCATAAGAGTGAAAAATAAATGTCTGTCATTTAAGCCACCGAGTTTATGGTATTTTGTTAAAGCAGCCCAAGCAGACTAATATATCTCTAAGGCTGCTGTGCCCAATATGGCAGTTGTTAGCCAGCCAAATGGGATTACCGAGCACTTGAAATATAGCTGGTCTGAACTGAGATGTGCACAGCAGATTTTGAAGACTCATATGAAAAATGTAATGTAAAATAGCTCATTAATTTTCTATATTGATAATGTGTTGAAATAGTAATAGTTTGCATATATTGAATAAATTAAAAGATTTTTACTATGATTCATTTCATCAGGTTTTTTTTTATGTTTTTGTAATATAGCTACTAGAAAATTTAAGATCACATGTGTGGCTCATATTATATTTTTATACAATAGCACTGCTTTAAAGGCAAGCAGCTATATACAGATGTGATAAACGCAAGTCTAGCTGAGACCCTGCTTTATCCTTTTTCACTTCTGCCTTTCCCTGATCCCATCATCTGACGTCCCTTCCTCTGTGCATGTTTGTAGCGTTGTTTGCTGTTGTCCTCATTAATGTCCAACCAAATTTCAAATTTTTATATAGGTCCTTGGTTGAGTACTCAAAACTCAGAAGCACATGTTTGAGGATACTAATGATGCAGAAGTTGCCCCCTTATGTGCTAAGCTCCATTCATTCACACAAATTTTTTTTGTGTGAATGAATTCACACACAAAAAAATTCAACAGTTTTTTTTGCAGCTACTACATGCTAAGTGCTGTGCTATTCTATTAAGAATAGAAAAGTAAATGAGATAAACTCCCCTCCTATATGGAACTCATGCTTGACTAAGGAGACAGTGTTAAGCAAGTACACACACAGATAGATACACATGCACATACATAACTTACCAGTTTGAGTCATGATCTTTTCTATGGTGCAAGTGGTTTGACTATAGTATCTAGTTTGCCTTGGAAGTCATGGAGGGCATCTTTAACAAAATGGCAATGAAAGAAAGATCTGGAAGTTAGGAAGAAGTCACCCAGATGAAGACTGAGAGAAAGAACTTTTTACTTGTGTGAAGGCCTCAGAGTGAGAAAGAACTTGGCTACACTCAACTAAATGAAAGAAGGCCAATGTGATTGAAGTCCTACAGGTCAAGAGGAAAATGGACCAAGATAAGGTTGGAGACAAAGGCAAAGGCCACATCAAAGATTTCTGTAAATCATGTCAAGAAATTTGCCCTTTCAGTATACTGACTGCCAACTGAAGAATTTTAAGCTCAACAGTGACATGATGACAGCTGGGTTTTTTCCCCCAAAAAATATTATTCTAACAATATTGTGCAGAATGGACTGTGAAGGTCCAAGAAAAGAAAAAGGAAACTACTGAGGACATCGTTATTCCAGAAAGGGATGTGGGAACCTTAGCTTTGAGGGCATGTAGATATAGACAGTGGATGGACTCAAAATAAAACATACATAACTTGGAATAGATTGTGTAGAATGAGTGATGCAAAAACAGAGATGAAGGTGTTTTCTTGTTTGTTTGTTTTGGGACAGAGTCTCACTCTGTTGCCCAGGCTAGAGTGACCGTAGCATTAGCCTAGTTCACAGCAACCTCAAACTCCTGGGCTCAAGCAATCCTCCTGCCTCAGCCTCCCGAGTAGCTGGGACAACAGGCATGTGCCACCATGCCCGGCTAATTTTTTCTATATATATTAGTTGGCCAATTAATTTCTATTTATAGTAGAGGCGGGGTCTCACTCTTGCTCAGGCTGGTTTTGAACTCCTGACCTTGAGCAATCCACCCACCTCGGCCTCCCATAGTGCTAGGATTACAGGCGTGAGCCACCGCACCGGGCCTAGAGATGAAGTTTTATTCCTAAATTTATGGCTTCAGCATTTGGAAAGATGAAGATATGTATTCATTGAGTAGAAGAAGACAGATGATGGAGCAGTAGAAACATCAAGAGTTCAGTTTAGACAGTCCAAGAACTGTTCTTGGTAAGTCATGCATACAATACTGTGATGAAAAAGGGCCACATGGGGTGGGGGTCAAGGGTATGATGAAAAGTACCTGGTAGTAGTCACAACCTTTTTTGCACATGAGAAGGGGCAAAACTTTTACCTCTCCTGCATTAACAACAGAAACTGGGAGGCATGTGTGGTCAAGGGGTTCAGATGGGATCTGGAAAACATCAATGAGACTTCTTTGATGACCAAAGTTATGAGCAGCAGTGAGTGGGTGAAATGAGCCCACTTGGTTTTGACTATGACTACCTAACTTATGACCAAAGAAGTGTGTTCTTATCTGACTGAATGCAACAAGATTAAACCTGGAGGCACTGGGACTATCCATCAAGCTTTGTTATTTGTCTTCAGAGCTTCTTAAATGTTTATAAAAATAGTTAAGAATTCTGAACCTAAGGTTGAAGTAAAGAGGACTCATTAAGTAAAAGTGGGAATACTAGAAAGCACCTTACTCATGAGTATGAGTCTCCTGGGAAATTTATAAAAACTGGATTTATTTTGTGCTTTTTAGTTGGCGAGAAGAGTAAATTCCTGACAAGGCATAAGGTATGTCATACTCTTTAGGAAGAGTCCTTCCTAAATCTCTCACCCTGTTGAACATAAAGGAGACCCAAAGAACACAGGACAAGTCTATGAAATTTCCAGGAAATCAAATATGTCTGAGCCTGCTGTGTCTTTCTTAGAGCCACAAAGACCGATGCATGGGAAGAAGGAAGTAGCACAAGAACCCTATCAGTTGGAAGTCCACAGAAGACTTTGGATTAAAAAGGCTGGAACTACCCTGTAGGCATAAGGAGGTCCTGTTTGTGGGCCCATTACGTTCCCTGCTAAATCTGAAGTTCCTATTGTCATGGTGCCCAAGTGTACCACTTTGGTTCCTCTCTGCTTTTGTCCTTCCTCAAATTCTTCAGTGAGATATTGACTTCAGATCCAGATTTTCTTGTCTTCTGGAGATGCAATGCTGCTCTAATTCCATACTTTTAGTAGACTTATTCTCCTTCCTACACCCCACGCCCATATTCTAGTCCTGGATATTATTCCAAAATCTTAGCACACTTATGTCATTCTTCTTCCTGCACTGTGTTAAAACCTCAAGTGAACTTTGCTATCCATATTCTGCACATTCACATTTCTTAAATAAGTATTTTTTTTATATTGGAGATTTCAAATTGCCTACAAAACAATTACAAAACATGTGAAGCACATGATAAGGACTAGCCAAGTACGAAACAGTGCAGAGGAAAATCGTTTCAAGGCAGACAAACTGACCTAAATTCACATTCGATTTTTCTGCATTGTTAAGATTTCACTAATGATTGTATTTGTTACATCTTGTCAAGGTTGATCTGCCATTTATACAATCCATTGATCTACAGACAAGAATTAATTATGGAACTCAACGACTTCTGTCAAAGTAAAGTGCTTAGCTTGAAAATGTAGTTTTCTCTTGCAGATATTTGCTGATATCTTCTAAAACTGAAGTTCAGGAGGTAACAACACTGAAATACAAAACAAAACGAACAACAAAAAACAACTCCATGCAAATCTAGACTTGCCAAAAGGAATTTTAAAACTTATGCTTATTTTGTATTGAGCTCATACATATTACACATTTAAATCATTCTTTAATCATCTTTATTGAAATAATTTGCAGTAAAAATTAAAATAAATTATTGTTCTTTGTATACATGACAAAAATATAGAAGTGAAGTACTGTAAATCATTTGTTTAAGTAATCCTGATTTTAATCTGTTTTTCATACCACAAGTCCATTTTTTCTTCTCATGAAACAAAAGAAAGAAATAAATAGATGCTATTTTGGTCATTGTTCAATTGAAGACATTTATTGACTTTTTTGAGGGGAGGAAGGTTTGGAAACAGGGTCTTGCTCTCTTGCCCTGGCTAGAGTGCAGTGGCACAATTATAGTTTACTGCAGCCTCCCACTCCTGGGCTCAAGAGATCCTCCTGCTTCAATCTTCTGAGTAGGTGGGACTACATGCATGTGCCACCATACACTGCTTTTTTTTTTTTTTTTTTTTTTTTTGCTATATTGCCCAGTCTGGTCTCAAACTCCTGACTCAAGCAATCCTCCTGCCTCAGCCTCCCAAAGTGCTGGGATTACAGACACGAGCCACTGTACCTGGCCTATTTACTTTTAATTTGCTCTTTACCAAAGTTATATATACACATACTAAGAACTCAAGAGATAGTAATGAAAACTAAGACTTTCTGTCTTTTTCCTCTCTACTCTAGTCCCACTCCCAAGAAGCAATCTCAACTCTTATCAGGTTTCAGTTGCTCTGGGGTACTACCATAACTCTAGAGAGATGCTTATAACACCACGTCTTGATTTCTTAAGTTAGAAACTTTTCTGTTGACTCCCAAACGTAAAAGATTAAGATGAGGCTTACTTACACCACTCCCTTCTCTTCTGCTCCCAGCATTTGATAGTTAAATCAAAACAAATTTTTTTCTAGCATTTCTCTTAACTTTAAATGCTATTCTATTTCTTGTTCCATGACTTTCAATATAACTCTTGGAACTCTACTTGTAAGAGGAACATATTCTTAGACTCCCTTTCCTCCAGCTTTTCTCCTACCCTCTGCATCCCTCCTTCTGTCACCTCTACACTGGCATTATCAAAGTTGTATACCCTTACATTCTGTGCTGCAACACCAAGTAAAGGCACTGTGTTCACAAAACTGATAAACACTAGAAACAGCAAAAATATGTTTACATTATTATTATGTATATTTTATTCCTTGTTCTATTGAACAGCATGCCGGGATTACACTTTTCCATTGCAGCTCTCACTTTGTGATCCCTGAGTCATTAGTAGGAAAGTTTTCAGCATCAAAACGAAAAAGATTTTCTTCCTTTGTGCTCAATCAGTTCCATAAAATCAAGCAACATTTTACTTTGCTTCCTAGTTGGACCATTAACTACTCTCCTTCCCTTTTGTTTGTTTTCCTTGGAGTTTCTAATTTTTAGATTTTAGTTTGCATGTTTGCCTTGAAGCTATCACCACGTACGTCTCAGCTATCTTGTGAAGACATGTGTAAATTTTTCTGCTCAGAATTTAAACTCTGTTTCTGTGAATGGGGAATTTTCCATGGAATGAGGCTTTTGTAACCAAAGCCCAAGTTCCTCTATTGGAAGTTCAAAGTGCTCACTAGCCAATTTATTAATATCTTTTGCATCTGGGCCGTGAACAAGTTCCCTAGGATTTGCCTATCTGATTTCCCTGACCTTGAATTGAGAACTAATAATCACAGAAGTAGGGACCACAGAGTGTTCGGTCTAGATGGCAGGGATGGGGACAGCGGCAGGTGTGGTGAGTTTCTGTGGCCCCTAGGACAGTGACATTAGAGTGTCTAGTGTCCAGGGCCAGCAGCAGCAGTGAGACAAGCAGTGTGGTCAGCCTTCCATGAAGGTGGGAGTGGGGTCCCATCCATCTAAGCTGTGGCCTAATTTTGGCAAGTCTCTGGATACAACTCACCACCCACTTTCCTCCGCTTATCTCAGCCTGATACCTCAAACTTGCCTGTGATGGAACGTACATTTTCTAGGTATCTGCTATCTGGAAAGACTTCTTTTCTGACCTCCCATTTGAGTGGGCCTAAAATTTTAGGTTGAATGTCATTTTCCCTCAAAACTATGAATTTGCTTGCTTTATTGTCTTCTAGCATCTGTGTTGCTCTTTGAGAAGACTGGTGCCAGTCATGTTCCTTTCCCCTTGTAGATATTGTTTAATATCTTTATCCCTGGTGCTCTGAATTCACACAGCTGTATCTAGAGAAGGGTTTCTTTCCACTATTTGGAGTCAGCACTTGGTGTACCCTTGCCTGTATTTTGGCTCTGAGAAAATTTCTTTTTTTATTCATTATTTACTTCTCTTTGTTTCCTTCACTCTTGCCTTCTAAGGAGCTTATTAATCCAATAAGCACTCCCTGGATATTCTCTTTCCCCATGTCTCTTATCTGTTCTTGCATTTTTCCCCCATCTCTTTTTCTTCCATTTTCTGAGAAAGACTTCAGACTTTAATTTTTATTGATTTTTTTCTTTGTTACTGTTGGCAATTGTGTTTGAGTAGATGCATTTTCCTGTTCTCTCAGTGCCTCTTTTTCATAGCATTCAAATCTTGTTTCAGAAATATATGTTCTAATCTCTCTGAGTTTATTGCTGAGGAAGATTTTAAACACTTTTCTTTCATTTAATAAATTATTTCTTTTCCTCACAGCCTTTTGTTGCATGATTTGGGTTTTGGTAGTTCTCCTCATTTGCTTTGTGATTTTTAGTTTTCATTACTATTTACACGGAAGATTGGGTAACAGGAATGATGTTCTTCTGATACCATAAAAGTAAAATTGCACCTTGCCAGGTTACAACACAACTCAAATTGGCAGGATTTTCCCATTTGCTGGCCAAAGGAAGTAAGTTCATGAAATTATAATTAATGTTTGATTGACATAAGGTGTTTCTCTGGAAAAGTCTTTTTTATCTATTGTGAAGCTAGAACACAGGTACAAAAGCCAGAATATATTCCTTTGGAGCCAGGCCCCAGGCCCATAATTACAATATTCATACTTTCCAAGGGTCTGAGACTCACGTTCTTTTACTTCAGACAGAGCTTCTCCTATTGCTTCTCTCTCCAGTTACAATTGACCTTTAATCTCTACCAGTCACCCATTAGTGTTAAGGAAACTTTGTCTTCATTGGTGGTTTTTAATATCTTCTAGGTCATTGACTGCTTGGAGAACATGATAAGAACATTAGCTCTTTTCCCTAGAAAAATTTACATACCCAAAATTGTTCTCATAAAATTGTAGAGATTTCAACTCATCCATAAACCGTGTGACCCAGAGGTGAAGAGCTCTTTTCTGTGGTCTGAAAAATCCAAGTCTTATAAATTGCAAGGCTATATCTGATGACCAGCTAAACATCTAAAGACCATGTCAGAAAGTGTCCTGCTACCAGCATTATTCAGAAAAAAGTGAGCAAAGAAGACTGATAATTGTACTTTATCAAAAGATCTTATACTAACTGAAAATTAGAGCTAAAAAGACAAACTGAATTTCAAAGACACAAGGAATTGGAAATTCCAGCCTCCTCCCTGACAAGGAAATCTAAGCTATGTAAAAAAGGAGCTTTGAAATTAGTTCCCAGCCTGACTTTATGCCTCTGGCCTGAGAAGAAGCCAGTTTTACTGTCTGCTGACACATGGGACATCTCTCTGGAACTGGTGTGAACGTAGGGTTAGATCTGGTGCACAGAGGAAGCTATGCAGATGGGAAGCCAATGCCACAGGATCGCCATGCATCCGACACAGTTCGCTGTTCTCTCTGAACTCTTCTCCCTCATCTGGTCCCTGCGAAGGAAACCTTCAGCCTGGTCTGTCTTCTGCTCTTTGGGTGTGGGGAAACGGGGTGTCGCAGTCCACAAAAATGGAACTTATACAGCAGGAAACCGTATCAAAGTCAATAGTCGCTATTATCATTCCAGGTGACATCAGGAGATGTAATTTCTCTTTTTAGAGTTGAATCCAGAAGGGTCAAGGCAACAAGATGAAAAACAGGGATTTATACCACATACACCACATGTTCTTGCCCACTTGCTCACCTGCCTGGAGGAATGAGATCTCTAAAAGCTACCTACTACAGTCCTAACTAATATACCTTAACTTCTGTGCAGAAAAGTGCATGGCCCTTAGAATTGATCCATTTAGGAGTAATGACTAACTAGCAGTGAAAACACATTTTGAATTGCTAATTTCAAAAGCCCACATGATTTCCTTGCATTAAGATGTAAGTGCTGATTTTCCAGCACACGCTTTGCATCTCAGAGCTACAGTAACCCCTCTCTTTTGAAGGTGTCTGATGGCCTCAAGCCATTGCTGGATGGCAGAGGCAAAAGACCTCTGTGGGGTTATTTGGCTATATTTTAGTACCTAACTCAGGACTTGCTTGCCAGATCCAGGAGATGTTGACCTTTTATAATTGAGGCAATCTCCTCAAAGGTCAGTCCTGACAGAAAAGGCTGTAATTGGTGTGCTTGGAGTTGCTGAAGCCAAGGCTGTGTAAACTCCAAAGTGTTTGCTGTTTCCTTTCAGTGTTCTTTCAACAACTCTACTCAGGCCACCTGGGGTTTTCATATCAACTAGGTGGAAAATGATCCAAAAAAAAAAAAATGGCCACCACTCCTTGAGGCAGGGATTGGGGTCCTTTTCTATCACGATGTCTGTGGTATTTAGTCCAGTGCCCAAAGTTGAATAAATATTTATTTTCTCCCTGGCCAGCTAAACAAATGAACAAATATTCTTATAATAAATATTAATAGTTATGAAATGCCAGCATTTTCTTGGAGTGTTCCCAGAGAGATGTATTCAATCTTACCATTTCCTGGAAACCCCGAGGTCTCTAAGATACCGGCACCGGAAAATAAAACAGGGAGGTAATGTTTTCTGAGCCAGTTTGTTTTCCACAGTCTTATTTGAGCTCCCCTTCATGAAGGAGGACCTGCCATGTACCATTTAAGCCTCTAACCACCCCCATGATACGTGTTATGAGTCTCATTTTACAGATGGGGAAACTGAAAACTGAGACTCAGAAAGCTTAAAGAGCTTCCTAGAACATGCAGGTAAGTACACGTGGAACTGGGATTTGAAATCCAGGTCTGTGAGATTCTGACATCTAAAGCTTTCTCCACCACATTGTACTGAGGTAGCCTTTTGAGTGGTCTATCTGTCCACAAATGCCTCTAACTTCCTCCAAAGTTCCTATCACCTATACCATGGGAATGATGCCTCCAGCAGCTCCAATTCAGACGCAGCATAGCATCATTTATCTACCTGTGCATCTGTAGTCCTTTACTGAGAGCTCTTTGTGGGGTCAAATTTCACTTAAGATGTACGTAAGTGTGATATGCTCTGGAGTAGACTAAGTCTGAGGGCTTAGAGCACAAAATAAATGCCTGAACTTGCAGACAGCTTTTTAGATGCACAGCACTGCATAGAATCTTCCATTGCTAAGGCAATGGGAGAGGCCAGCCCCATGCAGCTTCCACTGCCTAATCCTAAATGTGCCCAGTATCCTTAAGAGGGAGAGGTCCTGGGTAATGGGAAACACTCTTAACTCTATCTGGAGAGTTCCACAGACACCCTTGGGGAAGGTGAGGAGCCAAGAGGCTCAATCAACAAAATGCCAAGCAGCAGGCACTGAACTTAGCCTCTCATCCAAGAGGCTGCACAACTCCAAGGGGAAGTAGACTCCCCGGCCAGCTGTGGGTCCTGACGGCTGCTGAGAAGCCCAGAGACTCTGAGCGTGCCATCTCCCTCCCAAGGCGTGGGTGCAGGTGTCTCACTCAAAGGGCATCTCATACCTCCTCGGCATCCAGCAAAGTGCAACAGGAAGTCAGGTGCTCCCAGGAATATGATTAATTATCTCTCTCCCTACCAGACAGGGTTGATTTGCTCTGGTTCCAGTCCAACCCAAATGCACTTCAGTAAACAGTGTTTTTTTTTTTCCTGAAGATTGCCTATTTCTGTCTTTTACTTTCCTTTGCATATAGCAAGGAGACATAAGATAATATATGTGCAAGGCTTTGAGCTCCTTGGGAAAGCAGCACTCTCTAAGTGCATGATATTAATAATAGCAATATTTCTGTTACCACGAAGACAAGCTGAGTCCATCTTTCACATGTCCTTTTAAGTCATTTTTCCCTGCGGCTTCCTTTTCTGGTAAAATGGTTTTAAATGAGCCATACAAATCTCTAGTTTTAAAATACTCATTGGGGAAAATGCTGGTTAGGCTCCATCTTACCTGTAAGGGGAACACTGCTATGTTTGTTTCTTGAAAGGATGGTGGCTCTGGTAGGTCAGGAACGGGAGAATAGTCAAGCCCCAGGTGACAGAGCTGTGAAAGAGGCAATTGGTGTGGAAAATAGAAATCCCTATATGCCCTGCCTACCATGGTCAAAATGCCAGACCCATTTCTTGCAGAGCAATGTGACCAAGTGATGAGAAACTCCATTCTTGGTAGTCATGGAGCATAAGTGTCCAGGCAACCAGGACCTTTACTCTATTAGAAACAGCCCTGACATTTCTATTCCCAACATTGGCAAAAATACTATGAAGATGACAACAATAGCCACAATTTTCAAAATCCTGCCTCCTTCAGAAATTGTGCTAAACTCCTTATATTCCTTGTCTTGTTTTATTTCATCCTCTCAACAAACCTCCATGATAGATATTACCTTTAAAACTCAGAGATATTAAGTATCTTGCCCAATGTCACATGGCAACAATTTAAAATTTGAACTTCAAGCTAAAAACAGTATGCTCTTGTTATTTTTTTTTTTAAAGAAAGAAAAAATTAGGACTTGCTCCTCTGCTATACCTGTCTCAATGAAGAACCATCGATTCAAACGTGTTTGGTACTTGTGCTGGATAATTTCATGCATCAACTTAACTGGGTCATGGGATGCCCAGGTAGCTTATTTCTTAAACTTTATTTCTGGTTGTGTCTGTGAGATGCTTCTGGAAGAGACTAGCGTTTGAATTGGTGGACTGAGTATAACAGGAGCCCTTGAAGTCTGGGTGGGCAATCTCCAGTCCCTTAAGGGTCTGAATAGAACAGAAAGGCAGAGGAAGGTTGGACTGCCTGCCTGACTGCTTGGGTAGTGACATCTATCTTCTGCTGCCCTTGGTGCTCCTGGTTCTCAGGCCTTCAGATCTGGACTGGAAGCTACCCATCAGCTCTCCTGGGCCTCCATATTGCAGAAGGAAGATTATGAGACTTCTTGGCCTCCATGATCTCATAAGCCAATGCCTTATAATAAGTCTCTTCATTCATAGGTGACACATATATAATATATATATGTATAATATATATATATACACACACACACAGACAGACAGAGGGAAACAGAGAGAGAGAGAGAGAAATTCTGTTGGTTCTGGAGAAGACTAATACAGCGCTTTTTTGTGTGTGTATTAGGTACTCGTAGATTCTGGGAATACAGCAATGAATAAATAAAAGTCTCCAGCCCGGAGAAGCAGGAACCTATCCCAAATGATAATACGAGGGCTTGGAGCACAAGAGTGAGATCTGTGTTTCCTGGTTTGTCACTTGTTTCAAGACCTAAGGGCAGTCTGTGAGCCTGTGATCTCCAAACCTTTAGTCTCTGAACGGGAGCTCTGCCCTATTTCCAGTGCCTTTTTTCTTTAGTGTCACAAAGAAAACCAAAGAACAAGGCGGATCCGAGAGTCCCTTCAACCTTGGGCAGTAAAGAGCACAGGCTTCTGTGTAAATGAAAGCTGGGTTTACCTCCAGACCTACCACCTACTTGCTGTGTGGCCACGAGCAAGCCCTCTGAGCCTCGCTTGCTCCTGTATTAAATGCAGATAACATTCCCCACTGCAGAGGGTGGTTGAGAGCACTGAACGAGCTATTGCCTTTAAAGGGCCCAGCACAGGGCTTGGCAGCTACGTGACCCCCGTTTACGGTAAACACTCTTACTGTTGTAAAATCCAAGAAGAATGTTCAAAAACAAGCAAGCCTTAAGAGTAAAACCTACTGGAGACTGGGGAAGTGCCAGCATGACCGTTCTGAAGCCTGCGAAATCTGGACTAGAACTCCTTCCAGCATCCACGCTTGTCCAGAACTCCTCAGCACAGGGAGATTGCTAATAAAATGGGAACAAAGGAAATCATGAGGAAAACATCCATTCAACAAGAAAATAAAGCCAGTGCAAAACCACCCACTGCCCCCCTACCACAACAGACTGGCCGGTCCCAAGGCAGGGGGCTGCGGGCTGCTGCAGAGCCCCTGATTAAAGAGAGCCCCAGAGGGAGGCCATCCATTCACAGGCTGCAGCCCCCGGGGGGCTCTGGACTGTCCACCCTTTCCTAACAAGCATTCACATCCTCAATAGAGGATTGACACAGCGTTGGGCATAATGAACTGCCTTCTAATTCGCCCCAGTGCTGTGCCTTGTTCTTAGGAAACTGAGAATGAATCTGGTATTTAGCCTTAACGAAGGAAAACAAGCCTAAGTGCTAAAAAGCCCCCGACTTTCTTCCGTGACTGACAACTGTATCTAGTTGTAGTCTTTCACACCATCCGCATACTCTATTTTTCTTTCCTTGCAGAAGAATGGTGATTGTGAGGCAGACCAAATATGACAATTTAAATGTGGACCCCAGGGCTTAAGTAGCACAATGCCAAAAATATTAGTGATCCTGCTAGATGCAGACAGTCTGACCCCCAGCTGCAGGTCTTGGAAAAAGGAGGCCGTTCTGCCCAAACACAAAACAAATAAGACCTTTTCCTTTAAAGGATTCTGTCAAGTGTCTTTTTTATTTATTTTGCCTTTTGTCACATTCAATCAGAAGCCTGAATATGAAAATTCTTCCCTGCTGCTCTTGGTCTAGTTTCCTTTTCTTACTAAAAAGTTGCCTTGCCTCATTTAAGAAAACAAAATATATCAACAAATAAAGTTAAGTATTTTAAGGTAGGGCTATAAAAGAACAGCCAGTGAAAAAGAGATTGAGCATACTGAAATGAGCATTAGCATAAATAGTAGTAATATTAGGACATTCCACAAATATACCAGAGATGCTGTAGCTGATCCTGGGTAATATCAGTGGCTCTTCTTCTTTGCTGATGGGATCTGATTTGGTTTTTGGTGTCTACTCTTTCTTCTCATGGGTCACGGGCACATTTTGAGTTGCCCAAGCCAATGTTAGGAATTTTGCATGGCAGAAATGGCTTTAGAAGTGAACAGTGACACCAGTGCTGGCCAATGAAATGTAAGAAGAGGTCCTTCGGGGGTCTTCAAAGAAAGGTTTTAAAAAGAATTATCAAGCCCAAGAGCGACCTTACTTTGTAACGTGAGAACATTTTTTCTTTATTCTTTAAGCCTGTTGAGTTGGAAGTTTCTTATTTGTCACTGAAAACATTCAAACTGATAAATGATAACTGCTCAAATCATTTTGTAATCTTCTCCATGGAAAATGCTGTCAAAATCAATTTAACACCATCACAAGGAAATTTGTGTAGCAGTCGCCTGTTGCTTCTGCTTAGCATCCATATCCCTTTCTTAGAAAGAGTAATCAGTGCTTCTCAAACTTGAATGTGCAGATAAATTTTCCCGGGGTCTTGTAAATACACAGCTTCTGACCTAGTAGGGATGGGGTGGCACCTGAGATGCTACATTTCTTTCTGGTGGTGCTGATACTACTGCTGCCCCAACCATGCTTTGCTTAGTAAAAGTCTATACTCCCATTGGGAAAACTAATGCTTTCCCACATACTCTATAGTATTTAGGTGAAATTAGCTTAAGATAGTAAGAGAAGCCCATTCCTGGGCTATAACTATTGGTTCAGAGATGGGCAGGTCATCCAACATGAAACAATGAAATGGGAGATGTTTGCTGGAAGCCATGGAGAAAGAAGTTTTTTCACTCTCCAAGAGAGCTCCTGGAAGAATTTTCTTTGGATAATACGTACATGGATGTGGTGGTTGGAATTATGACAGCCATTTCTGCTGCAATGAGAGGGGCCACATGAGGACAAAGCCCATCCACTGAAAAGGGCAGAGCTAGAGAGAAGGGAAGAGATATGGAGCCCTCAGAGATGAAGTTGTAAATCTCTGGGTTGAGCTGCTACATGAAAGTGGAGATTCTTCTAGATTCTTCAGTGACTTGAGCCAATAAACTCCTTCTTTTTCCCTTGCTTAAGCGATTTGGGCTAGGTTTTATGTTAAATGCATGAAAATAGTCTTTAAGTGATACAATTAAAATTAATGCTTTACATTAGAACAGGAGTCTGCAAACTATGGTCAGAAGCCTGTTTTTGTGTTGCTGTGGATAAGCATAGTTTTTACCTTTTTAAAGGATTGTTAATAAAGAGAGAGAGAGAGAAGGAAGGAAGGAAGAGAAGGAGGGAGGGAGGAGAAAGAGAAGGAGAGGGAGAGGAAGGGAGAGATGAAAATGGAAATGAAGAAGACAAGGAAGATGAAAAAGATGAAGAAGAGGCAGAATCAGCAACATTGACAGCATATGGCTCCAAAGCAGGGATCAGCAAGCCTTTTCTATAAAGAACCAGACAGTAAATATTTTAAGCTCTGTAGACCATATGATCTTTGTTGCAGCACTCAGCTCTGCTGTGGTAGTTGAAAGGCACCATAGAAAATATGTCAATGAATGAGTATGGCCGTGTATCAATAAAACTTTATTTATAAAGACAGACAATAGACCAAATTTGGCCCATGGCCCACAGTTTGCCTATTCCTCTTTTAAAGCCACACTTTCTTCTGATTAAAAAAAGAAAACAAACAAACAAACAAACAAACAAAAAACGGGGAGAAGAGAAAAGAAAAATAATCTAATCAACGCCTTATTCAGTAAATTTGTTTCTGAAAACTCAAAGAGTGATAAACATTTGTGATCGATAGGTACATTATGAAGGATGATAAACAGAGTGATAAACATTTGTGATCGATAGGTACATTATGAAGGATGACCCAAAGATCTTGAAAGAGTGACAAAGAAGTGACCATACTTTCAAGCAGTGACTGTATCTGTGTAATAAGTACAATCTTTCAGATGTCTAATTTGAACCTTCTCCATAGTTGTTACACAAGCCTTGCATGTTGGTATAACCCACAATTTCCAGGCCCACCACCCTGCAGATATAAAGAGCTAACATCTAGAAACTCAACACAAGCTTTCCCTGGCTTGACCTTCACCACACTGACCTGGTGGAAAATTTGTCCCCCTCCATATCCTCAAGTGGTTCATATAGCTATAATCTCTTCAGGCTCTGAATATCAGTCCTTTCAGCTTAATTAAAAAAAAAACATATATATATATATGTATTTTACCTTCTACAGATTGCTATAGTAAAAGCAAAGGTGGAAGCTAGAAGCTAGGCCAAGGCAAGGAACCAATACGAAAAAGTACATGGTTCTGCTACTGTCTTCCAAGGCAAAGTGCAGAGTCCAAGGCCAGGAGCATTGGTAGTTGAGCCAAAATGTGCTTATATTGTGGGTATCAATGACTTTAGTGACTGACAGGAAGGTCCTCAATATTGCTGCTGCCCTGCCTTTGCTCCTGGTTGCTTATTCTAGTCTACTGTCAGCTAGAATGTGAAGAAATGGCTTTTTCAAGGTATTTTCCCTTGACCTTCTTATCACAACTTCCTTGATACAAAATTTAACACATATTCTTTAAAGTTGGTCCTTGAAGTAGGCCAAATAATGATCCTAAAGACATCCAGGCCCTAATCCCCAAACCCTTTGAATGTTGCCTTAGATGGCAAAAGAGACTTTGCAGATATAATTAAGATATAATTAAGGATTTTGACACAGAGAGATCACCATGGATTATTTGGGTGGGCCCCAAATGTAATCACAAGTGTCCTTATAAGAGAGAGGCAAAGAGAGTTTTGACTACAAAAGAGCAGAAGGTGATGTGACCATAGAAGCAGACATTGGAATAATGTGGCCACAATCCAAGGCACGTTGGCAGCCACCAAAAGCCGGAGTCCCCAGAAGGAATCACCCGTGCCTGCATCTGCATCTTGATTTTAGCACCTTAGAACTCACTTCAGACTTCTGGCCTCCAGAAATGTAAAAGTAAGCCCTTAAATTTGTGGTAATTTCCTGTAGTGGAAATAAGAAACTCATGCAGTCCTGGAGATAATCCTTGTGTTCAGAATTTTCCATTCCTTCCGAAATCCTTGAATCAACCGTTTCCTTAGGCACCTCTGGTTAAGCTACTCCCAGTAGACACACCCTATCAGTCCTTTGAACGTAGTCAGGTACACCTGAACCCAAACTGAGGCCAAAGCAAAGAATACTCATACTTACAAGCAAGTCACGTTATCTGTGTAAATGACCCTAGAATAGTATCATTTTAAAATTTTCCTGTCACTAACTTTCTCCACACTTATCTAATCTCAGGTTAAATTCTACAAGGAGACAGAGAGAGAGAGAGAGAGATGGTCTATCCAGCTTCTGAAGTTCCTTCCAATTCAATGTTGCTATGGTTCTATCTTGTAAAGAGAACTCAAAACAATGAACATTACTCTTCCCAAGGGTGAACATCTGTACCACACAATGAAGAGTGGCCTTCTAGAAACAGGACCCCTGGTGCTATGGAGAAGGAACCCCAGCCAATTTGGCAAAAGGTATCAAAAGACTTTTAAAACTGTACAGACACTTTCACCCAGAAGTGTACTCATAGGATCATATCATAATCAAATTAACCCAGATGTGCATGAAAATATATCCGCAAAGATGTTGATCATAATTCAGTTTATAGTTGCCAAAGGGAAGAAAGAAAAAAATAGATAAATATATTATAACAGGAGATCCGTTGAATAAATCATGGTATCTCCTTATGATTGAATGCTATGTAACCATTAAAATGATATTATAAAAATTTAATGACTTGGGAAATACTCACATGAAATTATGAAGAGAAAGAATCAGGTTGTAAAACAACGTTTATGTTAAGTTCCCATGTGTGTATACACAAAGATAAAAGACTGGAATGATATACACTAAAATGCTAAAAGTTCTTATTCCTTGGCCACGGGATTAAGGATGATTTTTATTTTCTTGTACATGTCTGTATTTTAAGAATTTTCTACAATGAGTATGCCATTTATGTGGTCTAAA